GGGGGGGGGGGGGGGGGGGGGGGGGGGGGGGGGGGGGGGGGGGGGGGGGGGGGGGGGGGGGGGGGGGGGGGGGGGGGGGGGGGGGAGAGTGGACCAAAGATTTGAAAAATCTCTTTTTACTTGTTTATAAATACCCCATACAATGTGAGCTTACCCCAACTAGTTTTTTTCAACAATGTAAAGCCATCCCTCCAAACTGACTTTGTGGATTCTTCCATGCTTTACTTCCTAAATTCATGAACTTAATGTTTTACATTCTCCGAATCTTCAAAGTATATGGTTTTAAGCAGGTTCGTGATGACCCTTATAATTAGTGTTAGACTTTCTTTCATTGTTGTATATAACATCTTATAATATGTTTGCTGAATATTGCTGTTTAACTGATTTGTTTGACAGTCTGGTTGCTGTAAGCCATCAAATGACTGCAATTTCACCTACGTTACCCCAACTAACTGGACTAAGACAGCCGCAACATCCACTAATCAAGACTGCAATGCATGGGACAATGACCCGGACGTACTGTGCTACAACTGCCAGTCATGTAAGGCTGGGCTCCTGGACAACATCAAGCGCGACTGGAAGAAGGTGGCTGTTTTGAACATCATATTCCTTGTCTTCCTCATTGTGGTTTACTCCATCGGGTGCTGTGCATTCAGGAACAACAGGGAGGACAATGGGTGGAAACGATATCCTTGAGAGTGAGGTTTTAGAGCTTCTATTGGTTTCTTCCTTGCATAGCACATTTTTCTCGACTTATTCAGACCATATCAGGCTATTATTTGATATATGCATGGAGCTCGAGGTCTATTAATTCGCTGTTATGTACATTGTTTAATCGATAAAAAGTAGGGTGTACTTGATCATCCCTCTTTATGTTGCTGCAGATTTTTGAACAACTTGGTTGAATGCATCCGTGTGTGTGTGTGTGTGTGCTGTGTAATGGGAACTAGGATTTTGTTAGGAAGGTCTAACAAAGAGAATTGAGGGAACATATTATGGAGTGGGTGATCTAGTATTTAGTAAATTAAAGGAATTTAGTATTGTGGGTATGTTTTTTTTTCTACCTCATCTGAACGAATGGAATTTCTTAAAATTAGAAGGAGTAAATTAGGGGGGTAGGGTGCTGCTATGTGACCTCAGCAGCTTATTAATTTCACGTTAGCCCATCAACTATTATGTTCTTGCAATTGCATTACACATTCAATTAAGGTTGCTTGTTTTACATTACTACATCTATAAACATTGAACACATGCATTTTACTAGGTATTTGGACATTTTTTGTCCAAACTATATCGGACATTTGGTTTTGGTCTAGTGTGAAAAACTAATTTAAATAGTTCAACGATTATTTGTGAAGCTCAGTACTTGAAGCACGAAGTGAGATCAATGTCATAGTTGAGGGATCAAAATGTAAGTTGTCCTTGTTTTATTTTCGTTCGCCAGAGCTATTGTATGAATGTGGCTCTTTGTTTCAATTCTTTGTGGACAAAAGGGGTTCTTGCAAATTAATTCTACAGATTGTCTTCTCTATTGATTCATCCATGAAGACTTGAACACTCTCTATTTGATCATTTTGTGATATTGGCTCTATCTCTGCATTCAACTCTTCATTGTCTGTGGCCTTGCCCCATAGCACAATATATAATCCAATTATCACACCAGCAGCACCTAACAAGCTGGAGAGAAGCACATAATTAGATTTAAACATAGAAAAAAAAGTTAACTGGACATAACCTAGTTGATCACCATTGATTCTCTCTAGATTTTGCTGGCGAAGAGGTCAATATTTTATCAAAGGCAAAGATTTATTTGTCTTGTGATCTCTTTAGGGGCTGTTTGGTAAGTGGGTATGGAGGGGTTTGACAAGATGGGTTGGAGAAAAATAGTCCAATAGACTTTAAAACCCTTGTTTGGATGACTTTTTTAAGCCATGGACAGCAGTATGACTCGACACCTTAAACCCTTGAATGTGGGTTTCATTAAACCCATTGAGGAGGAGGGGGGTGAGTTTCAATCAAGTCATACTTGTATTAGTGAGGTATGTGTCATTTGTACACCTGAGTTAAACGAACAGGAGTATGAATTGAATTAACTAATGGCAATGTAGTCATTTATAGAATAAATATATTATGATAATAATGATATATCTGTGGGTCTTATATAGTATGTGTTGCATACCAAACATGAGTATATATTGAATTCAAAATTGAGTCTCATCTTTGTAAGGAGGGGTTTGAATTTGGAAGGGTTTAGGAAAATCAATCCAAACCCTCCCCAAATATCCATTCAAACAAGTCATAAGGGGTTTTATTAGTCATAGGATTTTGACTCCCATCAAGTTTTACTGTGTTATGGTTCGGTCATATTATATTTGGATCGTCTCATTTTGAGTTTATGTCATGTTCTAACGGATAAATAAAAAATTAAGAAAAATAGAAACTTCACCTATCTTTTTTCTTGCAAGACTAGTTAAATAGGTTTGTGGTGTCAAAATTAAATTATTTGTATTAATACTAACTAATTCGATTCATTTAATATTCGTGTTAATTGGACATCCTTTGAAATTTGTGATTTGCAATTAACATGCATTTCTACCTACAAAGAATTGGCCAAAAAAGATCAAAGTAACAACAGATGGTATTACCTTCCAGTGTAGATCTCTTCATGCAGAAATATAGCTGCAAATATGGTCACTATAACCGTGCATAGAGGATTGAACAAAGCACTGAACAGTGGTCCTCTTTGTGAAATGCACCAGGCTTGAACAAAGAAGGAAAACCCTGAGCCTATAACCCCCTGTTCATAAATTAAGCTTTGTAAGTCTAGTTCAATCACAGTAGTGAGGATTATATAGTTTACAATACTAATTTGAAATAACCCAACTGTCATTTTATAGTATTGTCTATAACGTTAAAATAATGAAGGTAAAAAACTCACACTTACAAAACAATTCACAAAGTTTACCAAGCAGTTGAAATCACAATGAGGTTAAATGACACTGACAATCCCACATCGTTTAATGAAGTGTGCACAAACTATTTCATGAGCGTAATTAACTCTATTCCCCAGTGATTGGCGTTGGCGGATCCAAAGTGGGGGCAGTTGCCCCTGCTATAATTTTAAATTTTTTTGGAAGGTAAGTATAATTTCAAAAATCTTAGAATTTATTACAGATTCAGCCCTTATGAATTTTTTTTAAAAGATTTATAGGTAGCTATGTTATTTTGACAAATATATGGGTCTCACTTGTAAATATCAAAAAAAAAAAAAAGATTTAAAAGGCTATATGACTCCATTGTAGTCCTATATTTATTTTCTTATGTTGAAATAAAATTGGGGTTTGTAGTTCTCTTCTATGACTTATTTTTTTAGAGTACAATATTGTAAAAGATTCTGCTTATTGCTTGTGTTGCCATCTAAGATTTATAAGATGCTCGATGATTTGGATTTTTCCACGCATAGACTCGATATATGATTGAATTAAATTTTTTATGTTAAAATTTTATTGTTAGATCTTATAAGTAAATTTATAGTGGGGTTTTTTATTTTTAATCAACTCATTTTGAATATTGCTCATGTATGTGTTATGCTTTTAATTGACATTTTATTAATGAAACTATATTTTTGTGAACATTTAAAATTTTAATATTATATAGTTTAGGTTGCCCCCACTAGGAAAGATGTCTGGTTCCTCCCCTGGTGATCGGCCAAGTGTATAAAGTGTTTCATTGGCGAGAATATTAAAATTTCTGTGTATAATGTGTTCTAAAGTTGTGTGAATCTAACGCAGACCAGTATTTTATAATGCTAGTCTAGGGCATATAAATTGAAAACCATCTACTTACTGAGTAGATACAACAAGCTAGTTCAAGATATGAATGCAATTTCCAAGCTTCCAAGTCATGCTCTAAGAACAATGTCATTGTTCCTGACTGTAGTGTTGCCGTGAAACACATCCATGCCGAAAAAGATAGGTGGTCAGGATAGCTAGCAGAAACCGGGACCTGTTAATAAAGGTTTTAGCATAGTTTTAGTAATCTAAATATCATATAATTGCAACTAGATCTATCAAAAGATCAGAGTTGGATCAAATTTTGACTAATATGAATATGAGAGTTCAACTTGAAAATTGCTATCCGCATAGATGTATTTTAATATCACATGAATAGGTTAAAAATTGAAAATTTTATGTGAAAATTCACAATCCGACTAACTAAATTAGAGCTACGTATCTTAATTTCAATTCAATTTTTCAAACAATCACCCAATTTCATAGCATGTATATACAAACAATTTAGACTGGATTATAATCGGATTACATATCAGTATACTCACATCCCATATAATTTCGACTAATTAGATTCAAATTCGAGTCAAAATNTCATAATCGGATCAAATATTAGTATACTCACATCCCATATAATTTCGACTAATTAGATTCAAATTCGAGTCAAAATCCGATCCAACAAAACTAATTGCAAAGAGATATGTGAGCTAGTTACCTGCAAAATTAGCCAAAGTGACCAGCAACAACTGCTTCCGAAGCATAGCAGACNATCCGATCCAACAAAACTAATTGCAAAGAGATATGTGAGCTAGTTACCTGCAAAATTAGCCAAAGTGACCAGCAACAACTGCTTCCGAAGCATAGCAGACAACCCAACAACCAATTCTCAGATTCGGAGCCAAAGACACGTTTTGTTGGTAGCAATTCTGTGTTCAGTAGCTTTGGGCCTCTAAGCAATGCTGTGGCAACAGCTCCAGCAACGCACACGATTGTCCCTATGATCTTGGCAATACTTCTCAAGCTTCGGAGATTTACTTTCTCTAATCTAATCATGTCATAGATTAGGAAACATGTGGAAGCTATGATATCAATATATATCGGGGCAATTCGAGACACGGGACATAATGAGGGGTTCAAAGAGTAATTTTCCTGATACATATTCAAATAAATAGTCTTCTCAAGAGTTCTAATTCAAGGTTCCTGAATACACGTTACGAGATTATTTCTATTGGGACCTAATTTATTAATTTAATATATTGACCTAATTTATTATTATCTTTAATTAATCGTAGACCCCATCAAATATTAAAATTTGGTGTTAATCTAACGGTTACAATGACATCACAACTTTAGATCAACAAATTAGATTAAATTTTTAAGTCCCAATTTAATCTGTTACCATATTGTCCAATTAGGGACGGATATATTCATAAATTGTTATAGGTCGGACTAAGAACAATCAAAAGAGATACGTCGTGGGTTTGAATGATCACTAATCAATTCCTCCAAAATGGAGTTAAGCTTGTGTGCTATTCATTTCTCTCNCGTCGTGGGTTTGAATGATCACTAATCAATTCCTCCAAAATGGAGTTAAGCTTGTGTGCTATTCATTTCTCTCAGATCCCAAGATCCCACTATAAATTAGAGTCATATACAATGGATACGATACAAAGTTTCAATGTAAATTTAAATGAAAGGAGCCATATTCATGTGTTTTCTCACTGCCAAAATTCTTGATTAAGTCATTAGATCTGAGCACTTACCCAACAATGGATGCCATGACCAAGGTGACTGCTGGGACTAAATTAAACAATGCACTTCCAACAGACGATGAGGCTAAGAATAACCCTTCAAAATAGATGGTCTGGTTTACTGTTACTCTGATGGCCAAGAAACAAGGGAAGAGTTAAAAAAAATTCAAAATGTAATAATGATTTCTAAAATACATGTTCCGTCATATTTTGGTCCAAAAAATTTTAAATTTTGTAATATAGTTTTGATATTTTAAATATGTATTTAAATAGTGAAATTGATGATGATCGTTTAAATTAGATAACATAGTTGATCAAATGTAATTTTGGTCATTTGGGGGAGCTCGATGCATTGAAGGCCTAAAGTGACCAATATGAATGAGGTTTTTTATTTTTTAACATTTTTCGCTTAATTTTATTTTTTGCCTTTTTAGACGAAAATTTATTTATTACGTTTTTCCATTAAGTTTTCTAACATATCTTTTTTGATTAGCATGAATAATTGGCTTAATAATTTTTACACATTGTCAAACTTTACGAAGGATTTTATTAATTTTATTTTTGAAATGTCAATAATATTTTTAAAAAAAAAAACATTTGAAAAAGAATCTTGTGTTTCTATTTAATTATCTCAAGTAAGATGTTTTCTTCTATTTGTAAATTGTTTGTCAATATATTTAAGTCTCAAAACCAACCTAGAGCATTAATAGCAAAGAAACTTTCATATTTAGTCAACACTCGAGATTAAAACTTTTTTTTTTTAAGTTGCTATCATTTAATGAGTTTCAGCTTCAAATTAAATAGAAATTTTAAACTCAATCGTATCTAGTAGATTATGTTGTCTCANTACTATAATTTAATGAGTTTCAGTTTCAAATTAAATAGAAATTTTAAACTCAATCGTATCTAGTAGATTATGTTGTCTCATTCTCCATGTTTTTATTGTATGAGGTTAGTAGGTTGAACTTTTCGGTCCAAAGCAATTTAATATTTNCATTCTCCATGTTTTTATTGTATGAGGTTAGTAGGTTGAACTTTTCGGTCCAAAGCAATTTAATATTTCTTTGTTGGTTTTAGCACTGTTTGATGTACGGGGATAGTGCAGGAGGGTTATAAATAGATTGTTGGTCATGGATCTGATGTCTTCCACAAAGGTCATAATCTTCCAGAGTGAGACATCTTCCCCTAAACACAAAGAGATGGTGACTTTGCAATCACTCTCTATCCGCAAACATTGGAGAGTCTGGGCCAACAAGCAAGCTCCTCCAAGAGTAGCGGCTTCTGAATAAAGGCTAGACACAGCTAGGATAGGGTAAGCAATACCTTCAATCAATGAACATCTTCCATTTCCAAAGATCACACCAATTGAAGCTCTGAAGCTGTATTGGAGTTGGGGAGGAAAGCTCCATCACAATAGATCTTCATCTGGTTCAGTGGAGAGGGCTGGCACTAAGATACAAAGTGGTACCCAAATGTTTGATTCATAAAAGGGCATGGAATTTGAGTTGGCAACAGTGTAAGTTTTCCCTTACTAATTTGACCATGTGAATTACTGTAATAGGATTGGGAGTGAGCTGTTGGAAAGCTGCTTCATTTCTATTTTNCTAATTTGACCATGTGAATTACTGTAATAGGATTGGGAGTGAGCTGTTGGAAAGCTGCTTCATTTCTATTTTCCCAGATTATCCACCCGACTGCAGCTACTCTACTCAACACCTCAATTGTGTGAGATTGCTTATGCAGAGATTCTATCAGTATAACTGTCCATTGCAGGACTGAAGAGATCCTCTCCTTGTCAATCTTTATGCTCAAGTCACTGCCAAACTATGCTGTGTGTGTCCCAACACAGGGAAAAAACAAATATACGACATATTCAACCTCATTTTTNCAGTGTGTGTCCCAACACAGGGAAAAAACAAATATACGACATATTCAACCTCATTTTCACAACTTTTGCAAAGTGGGGAGGCAGAACAAAGTCTGAAAAATATATTCTCTTGAGTGGCAAGAGAACTAGAGCAATGCATTCCACCAGAAAAATGCCTCACCTTAGGAATTGTTTTAAGTCGCAGACGGCTTTCTACAATTTGAGTGGGATCATGGTTGAAGAGCTTCCCCTCATATCCTTGCCAGATTGTTTATTTTCTATAGCTACCATATATCCATACTTCACCTTGTAAAAACCTTTTGGATGGGGGTGTCAAATTCTCACATCCTCCCCAGATGACTTAGTTAAAGAGATTACCTTTATGGCTTGCCATTCCTCAATTATAACCACATTTCTAATCAAAGGCAAATTACACTCCTTAGAAGTGGCAGATATAGCATCCTTAACGAAGTTAATTTTGCATTTGGTCGGCTTAGGAGAATTAATCAAGAAGCCAGGTGTTGTTGGAACCTACTTGTCCTCCCAAAACTTAACCTTACCCCTTTTCCAACTTACCACCTCAGGCCCTTTTCCAATAGCTCTCCACTCACCAACAAGATATTCCACATCCAGGATGGTCTTGAGCCTCTCTTGACCTAAAGAAATCCAAAATTTGGATAGACTTCTTATCTGATCCTATAAGGAATTCAAATTTTGGATAAGCCGCTACAACTACTTAGCTAGGGCATCTTGATTAAAATATTCGAGGTCTCTAAAACGTAAACCTCCCAATGCCTTAGGTGTTGTAAGTTCTTCCCACTTCCTCCTTGGAATCCCTTTGAATCCGATTCTTACCCCACCATAAACGCCGAATTTGGAATGTAAGTTTGCCACATAACTTCTTAGGGAATGATAAGTAGGACATCACTTAGGATGGGATTTCCTGTACGATTGACTTGATTAAGAATTCCTTTCTCGCCTATGAGAGGTAAGCTTCCTTCCGTCCTTGGATTTTCGAGATGATTCTCTCCACGATATAATAGGGTTTGTGTTTTTAAGCTCCCCCAAAAGGATGGAACCCCAAAGTACTTTGTAGACGTTGGGATCGACTCCCAACGCTTCACTTAAGTTTCTCATTTGCTCCACAAGAGTATTACTAAGAAAAGGACTCCTCACTTCTAGAAATTTATAACCTGTCACGATGCCTCACAATGTTTAGGAAGTGTATTCTTCAAATTTCGTCTTTCTAATTCACTGGCCCTGATTTTCAGACTAGAGATTTTTTCTTCATTTTCATCCTTCTAAACCATTCTGTATAAAACATCAACCACCTCCAGGAATAAGTGGGGATAGGGAGTCCACTTGCCTTAATCCTTTAGGCGGCTTTACTTTGTAGCAAACTCTTCCATTTATGACCACTTCATAATTCACCATGCCAACACATTGATGGATTAACCTTATCCATTTTGGATTCAGTCCTAGTTTCTTCAGTGTAGCTTTTAGGAAATCCTGACCCAATCATAAGCCTTATTTAGTTCAAGTTTAATGGCGCCATAGATGCTTGTAATCCCCTCATCTTTACTTTCATAGCATGGAACGCCTCGTTCGCGATTAGAATGATATCTTCAATTTGACAATGGGGAACAAAAGTTGCCTATTTAGTGGTAACTAATTGAGGTAGAAACAATTTCAACCTATTAGCAAGTACCTTTGAGATGATCTTATACTAGAAATTGCACAAGGCAAAATTGGGACATATTCTTTGGATTGGACTCTTGGGAATCAGGATTATACTCATCAAACTAGTCTCAAGGGGCATTGGTTTTTAAGAAAAGAAGCGTAGGACAGCTTTCATACTTCACCTCCCAGTGTGCCAATATTTATGGTCGGAAATCCCTAAAAAACCATCGGGGCCAAGAGCTTAGAGAGCTCCTAGTTGCTTGGAGGTTTTATGTATTTTACTCTTTATTAAAAAACTTAATAGAGAGGAATTCATATCCTCTGTTACAAGCCTTGGGACCACTTTTAGCACATCCCCAAAATCTTAATCTCTAGAAGCCTAATACAAATCTTGGAAGTATTTCAAGATATGGGAGTTAGTCTACCCTTTCTAAAAAATTCACTCACCTTCAAGAGTTTTTTACCTTGCGAATTTGATTTCTCTGGTGCCTTTGTATGGTCATTAGGCGAAGGAATCCCATTTTTTGATCACCTCCCCTTAACCATTTGATTCTCGATTTTGCTACCTGTATGTTTTCTATTTGTACCTAACATCATTTAGGCTCTCTCTCTCTTTCTCTCTGTGTGTGTGTGTGTGTGTTAATGTTGTGGGACATAGGTTACTCATTTATGTCTTAGCTAAATCTTCCTGAAGTTCTGCCAATTGCCGAAAGCCTATTACCCCATGAGCTGAGATTATAGCTACACTCCTTTAACTTCTTATTGGTTGAACCAATAGTAGAGTCAACTATTTGAGGCTCCTAGCTTTTCTTTATAACTTGTCCATAGTATTCTAACTCTAACCACATAGCTTCAAACATAAAGTGATATGGAATTTTATGCTTTTTTATTCCAAAATTAATTACAATGGGACTGTGATTTGATCTCATTCTTGGCTCATGAAGTACCTGGACAAAAAAGAAGTAGCTTTTCCATTCCGGATTTGCTAGCACATGATCAATTCGTTCTTGAACATTTACTTCTCCCTCTCTGTTGTTGGACCAGGTAAATGTAGCCCCCTTAAAATCCAACTCTGTCACCCCATAATCAGAAACTAAACCTTGAAATTTCTCAACTTTTTAATACAACCCCCTAACCTTCCACCTCTTTTGTCCCAAATCGAACCATTTATGTTGAAATCCTCTGTAATTAGCCACAACATTGAGGGATTATGGGATAATCCTTTTAACAATCGCTAAATCCTCTGCCTCTTCTGATAATTAGGATCAACATAGCTGAAGGTGGCTTGCCATTGAAATAAGGGCTACCTCAACATATACCTAGTGTTGATAACATTTTTTTTTTTCTAAAAACAATCTCAACTTCCATATTTTTTCCACCACAAGACCAAACCTCNCAAGAGTTTTTTACCTTGCGAATTTGATTTCTCTGGTGCCTTTGTATGGTCATTAGGTGAAGGAATCCCATTTTTTGATCACCTCCCCTAACCATTTGATTCTCGATTTTGCTACCTGTATGTTTTTTATTTGTACCTAACACCATTTAGGCTCTCTCTCTCTCTCTTTCTCTGTGTGTGTGTGTGTGTGTGTGTGTTAATGTTGTGGGACATAGGTTACTCATTTATGTCTTAGCTAAATCTTCCTGAAGTTCTGCCAATTGCCGAAAGCCTATTACCCCATGAGCTGAGATTATAGCTACACTCCTTTAATTTCTTATTGGTCGAACCAATAGTAGAGTCAACTATTTGAGGCTCCTAGCTTTTCTTTATAACTTGTCCATAGTATTCTAACTCTAACCACATAGCTTCAAACATAAAGTGATATGGAATTTTATGCTTTTTTATTCCAAAATTAATTACAATGGGACTATGATTTGATCTCATTCTTGGCTCATGAAGTACCTGGACAAAAAGGAAGTAGCTTTTCCATTCCGGATTTGCTAGCACATGATCAATTCGTTCTTGAACATTTACTTCTCCCTCTCTGTTGTTGGACCAGGTAAATGTAGCCCCCTTAAAATCCAACTCTGTCACCCCATAATCAGAAACTAAACCTTGAAATTTCTCAACTTTTTAATACAACCCCCTAACCTTCCACCTCTTTTGTCCCAAATCGAACCATTTATGTTGAAATCCTCTGTAATTAGCCACAACATTGAGGGATTATGGGATAATCCTTTTAACAATCGCTAAATCCTCTGCCTCTTCTGATAATTAGGATCAACATAGCTGAAGGTGGCTTGCCATTGAAATAAGGGCTACCTCAACATATACCTAGTGTTGATAACATTTTTTTTTTTCTAAAAACAATCTCAACTTCCATATTTTTTCCACCACAAGACCAAACCTCTGGATAATCCTGTTGAATCTACATACTCACCATGCACAAATCTCAAAGAGCGTATAATTCTCTACAAGATGTGTCGTTTGTTCTTGGTCTTCATGAGGAAGACAATATCTGGACGATGGGTGTGTATTATCCCTCGCAGCGTACAAACTATCCTGGTTCATCCCACTCTCTGTAAATTCCAGGAAATGATTAATATGACACGTATGGCTTATTGAGAGTTAGTCATCATCACCTGGTCTTGTGTGGGAGAGGTTTATGGTTCCTTCAGGAAAGTGCTTGGAACTTGGGAAATCCATTGGGACACACACACACACTTGCATCTCATTTTCTTTTTCTTGTTCTTCAGAATCATCGATTGGAATGGACTCGATTTCAGCCTCCTTAATTTCAACCTCCACTAAGCTTTCCCAATGAAGTTTTAGATTTTCCACTGCCTTTCCATTATGCCTCCTACCTCTGCCTCTGCCTCTAATAGCGGTTGAGCTATGTTTTCGGCCCCTACTCTGACCAGCATAAGAAAGAGAGAAGCCTTGAGATCCATACATTGTGTTTTTAGAAGGTAGGGTTAAGTGCATTTCGAGCGAAGAAGAGAGCTTACGTCTTTTTGGAGTTTTAGGACACTCATCTAGAGATTGGGTTTCGTAGTTCTGGGCTTTCTTTTTTTGACGTAAGTTTTGGAAGTCATGGTCCAGTACTAATGATTTTTACCAACTGGTACTTCCTAGAGACTAGTGTTGATAGTGGCCATTGGGCTTGGCCCTTCTAGCAATTTGTGACCAATCTCAACAATAGCAGGCTTAGGCATAATACTATGTTGATCTAGTTCATAACCTAGACTTTCGAGAAGGTATGTCAAACCTGTTGGCTCAACGTTTTACCTTGAAGCACGTGAAAACAACTTTATCAAATCATCCCCATTATTTTTATTCCCCAACTTTCTTGGGGACACTAGGGTTCCAAGGATAGAGGACTCGCTACCCACATATGATTGCTTCATCCCATATCATTTGGGGATCTTGCCTGCTAATCATACTAGGAGAGGCTACATGACTACGTATCATTGGTCATAAGAGGATCTTGACTCTATTGGGGTGGTTGACCGTTTGGCTAAGGCTGCACATTTTCTTCCTATTGCATGGTACACCAGTGACTATCGTTATTGATAGGGATTCGAGATTTATTTCTAGATGTTAGTCGAGTTTGTAACAGGCTTTGGGTACTACCTTAAAGTTTAGTAGGACTTTTCATCCGTAGAGTGATGGATAATCTGAACGTGTCACATATATTTTAGAAGATATGTTGAGATCTTGCATAATGGAATTCAAGGGTAATTGGAATGAACATTTATCATTGATAGAGATTACGTATAACAACAGTTACCAAGCAAGTATAGGTATGACACCATATGAAGATCTTCATGGAAGGCGATGTAGAACACCTATGTGCGGGATTAATGTGGGAGAAAGGAAGATATTAGGTTCCGAATTGGTGCAAGTAATTGCAGATAAAGTGAAGATTAGTCAAGAGCGGTTAAAAATTGCTCATAGTTGGCAAAAAAAAAACTATGCAAACAACCGAAGAAGGGACTTGAAATTTCCTATTGGTGATCAGGTGTATCTCCATGGAAAGGTGTTACCAAGTTTGAGAAGAAAGACAAGTTGAGTCTAAGGTATATTGGGTCATTTATGATTATTGAACGAATTTGAGCAGTGGCTTATCAATGGATATTACCATCGCATCTTTCTCGATTACGTGTTCCATGTGTCGATGTTGCAGAGATATGTACCTAATTCATCTCATGTGATAAAAAAGGAACCTATTGAGCTTAAAGAAGATCTGACATATGTAGAGGAGCCAGTTGAGATTCTAGATTGCAAAGAACAAGTTTTACATATGAAGTCACGTAGTGTAGGGGGCAACTTGGGAAAGTGAGGAGAGTATGCACGCAGGATACCCTCATTTGTTTCAATGTGGTAAGTAAAATTTCGAGGACGAAATTTCTTAAGAAGGGAAGAGTTGTGAGGCTCGAGCATCTATATCATTTCATTTCATAAACATTGTGGGTCAAAGTGTTACTAATATTTGCGCAGGTACAAAACTATGATAATTAAACTTTGATAAAGTGAGTATGATTTAATTAAGTAATTGAATTGTTGAATTACGAGGTAGTGAATGCATAGGTGAGATTTTAAAAGTGTAAAGAAGTTTGGGAGTTAAAATATTTGAATTAAAGAACAAGGGGGAGGGTTGTGTAATTATGGTAAAGTATGCATGAAGAGGACACCCGGTTGCATGGTGTCTCTTTAGCCTTTTGTTTGGAGAAAAATATAAAAGGCATGGCTTGAGCAACAAACGGTGGGGAGAGAGGAGAATTGGGGAAAGAAGAGTTCCTTTTGAAAATATGAGAGTTTTAGTTCCAAGTGCGTTTTGAGTGAGAAGTTTCGTTTGTTTTATTGTGTAGAGTAAGTTAATAATCTTTCATTTACATTTATAGTGTTGGTTGGATACAAGCTCTTGGGTTGTGGGTGTTGTGTTGGGAAGAATATAACTCTAAGTTCTTGGATGTGAGTATGGAGGCGTTCGAAGGAAACAATTCACAACAAATGTAATAATTTTTTGTGAATTACTATGTTTTTCAACTTATAAAACTATCTTTGAGGTATGGATAGGTGTTGGTGTTGAAATTTTTTCTATATTGGACTTCTATTAATTGATACTTTAATTTTTAATTTGTGAAAAACAAGTTGAATTTATAGTTTAATGAAATGAGTCAAATATTATTAAGTGATCTATTTTGATGGGTTTATTTACATCTTTTTAATTGATGTGCTTGAGGCGGTTAAGTGTAGATCTTAATCTAATTATGACCCGTAATGGGAGAGACCATTAGATTCATTATAAATAGCAGGCTAGGTTTCCTCTCCACTTCATCACCCTAATTTGGCTTGTCTCATTAACAGCCACCTATTGCTTTGAAGAATGAGAGGAAGACTTTGCCCTTCAACAAAAGAAATCTAAAGATCGAGTATCATGACTTATATATGTGTGTCTAAAACTTGTAATTTGGGTATTCTAAATTTCATATACGAATTATTAAAATTTCTTACACATGATATCATAGTCATCGTATATGAATTTAGAACCAACAAAATTCATTTTTTAGATTTTTCTTCATCATATTAGATTTAGTCAAATAGTTGATGTCATATGTCTTCAATAATCATCAACCGAGCCCCTAAGGCATTCATAAATATTGGCGGCAGATGTATGCCTTTATTTGATTAATGTCATGATTCATAAATATTGGCGACAGACCATTTATGCATTGATTGATTAGAATTGATATATGCCCTGATTCATAAATACTGTTGGGTGCTTATTTGGATTATATAAAAAATTAGTTTAGATGGTTTAATCAACTTAGACCTTTATATTTGATTATGTCATATTCGATTAGCCTATTAAATTTTTTATTAATTATTTATGGATCTTGTTGGCGAATAGATATATGTTTTACCTATACAAATTATTTTCTCATACTAATGTAACTTTGATTAAATAGCTATAATTTGTAGAAGGTATTTGTACAATTCTAATTTTAGTCCCTGGTGATTTATACGATGAATTTTTTTTTATGATCTATATATTATTTATTAAATTTTAGTATATGTGAACTTAAATTATTTAATTTTAATAATTAAAACAGAATTAAGACCTGAATGTAACGATAGATGATGAGTGATCTAAAGAGATACATATTGGTTAGTACCTCATATTGATTAATCACATGATATTTAATTATGGGCAATTTGTTATAATATCTCGGTTTGAAAAATTTTATGAGTTAAGATAGGTGGTTGCCACTAAAGTGGTCCATTCATTGAAATTTATAGATTTTTCTCATACTTTTGTTACGGTATGGTCTTTAAATTATAATATACAATTACTTGCCCAAAAAGGGTTATTGTGTAGTGTAATTTAGAGATGTCATAAAACATTTGTCGTAGAGGTGCAATAGTGTAGAAGGTTTATCTTCCTAAAGGGGATAATTTTTTTTGAAACTTGAGCATTCTCATTGGTTAATTTCATGAAAGAGAAGACTTATAGCATATTGCATTTGTTAGTCAAATGGGAGTTTATAGTGATGTATTTGGACTTTCTTAATAAAATATGACTTATTATGTTCAAAGTATATTTTATTTATTTATTGTCTAATTTTGCTAACTGTTTTATTCTTATTGTCTTCAACAGTCTCTTTTGCTGTGAATAATAATAATATCAATATTGAAGTCTTGATTGATTTTAATTATAATAGATGGAAGCAAGATATTGAGTTTGCATTGAAAATTGCTGATATAGACTTTGCTTGGAAATATAATGAACCTGCTAAACCTACTAGTGAGAGCTCCTCAGAAGAAAAAGAATTTTATGCAGAGTGGAAGAAATCTAATTGGTTGATTATGATTTCCATAAAAAGGTCTATCTTTGAACACCTTATGAGTGGCTTGCCTGAAACCAAGAATGCTAAGGAGTTCTTTATCGCTGTAGGAGAGAAATACAAGATATTTAATAAGACTGAAGTTGGGAGTCTAATGAATGAATTAACGAGTATGAAATATGAAAATGTGGGTGGTATAGGAAATATTTCTTTAGAATGGTCTATGTTCAAACTAAGCTCAAATCCTTCAAAATTGNTGTGGGTGGTATAGGGAATATTTCCTTAGAATGGTCTATGTTCAAACTAAGCTCAAAGCCTTCAAAATTATTATTCTTGATGATTTCATTGTTCATCACACTCTTACTTCTTTGCCTCCTGAGTTTAGTTAAATCAAAGTCGCCTGCAATACCCAAAATGAGTTGTGGACAATATATGACCTTATCTCCAAGTGTTATTTTGAGAAAGAAAAATTTAGAAAAGAAAATAGTGAAACTGCCTTATTTGTTTCTCAGCCTAAATCTAGTTTCAAAGGTGGGATCAGGAAAATAATAGAAAACCTAATCATAATGCTCTAAAGAATGGTTNGAAAAGAAAATAGTGAAACTGCCTTATTTGTTTCTCAGCCTAAATCTAGTTTCAAAGGTGGGATCAGGAAAATAATAGAAAACCTAATCATAATACTCTAAAGAATGGTCAGAATTTCAAAAGACATAGTACTGGTCAAAATGTGGGAGGTTCTAAGGTTGTCATTCAAAAAAATGTCAAATGTTACTTTTACAAGAAATGAGGTCATAAGAAAAATGTGTACACTCGATTCAAGTCTTTGTTAGAAAAGAAAAATAAAAAAAGAAGGTAACTCACTGACCTTTGTTTCCTTTGAATCCAATTTAGTTAATATCTCATTAAATTCTTGGTGGATTGAAAGTGAAGCTTCTGTTCATGTTGTCATGACTTTGCAGGAATTCACAAACAAACGAAGACCAAGTGAAGGAGAAGTCAAGCTTAAAGTAGGAAATAATAATGAAATCTATGTTGAATTTATAGAAACTGTTAGGTTGAATTAGA